CAATAAAAATATCAATAACAAACACTTATCCTGAACAGGGGACAGCAGGCAAAGAAAAAAAAAGATAACGTGGGGTTTCCTCCTTTCCATCAGAGACCCCCTGTCACATCTGAAGCCCCCCTTCATATCATAGTCCCTCCATTTCACATCAGAAGCCCCCCTTCACATCAAGACCCCACCCCTCACATCAAAGTCCCGCCATTTCACATCATAAGCTTTCCCTATACATTAGAAGTTCCCCTTCATATCAGGAGCCCACATCACATGAGAGTCCCCATCAGTAACAAAAATATGAAGGCACCCCAAGTTGCCATTGCACCCTGGTTAATAAAGCCTGGTATAGACACATATCACAAACTACAATGAAACCATTTTATGAACTGGTCACTTGTAGGAGGAATGTGGTGCACCACATGTATGCTGCTAAGATGCAGTGTTTTGCACTTGCCAAACCCTGGGATAAAATAGGGCAGAATGTAGTGGTAATCGGGCAATGCCACACGTGTCTTTATTTAGGAACATGAATGAAATGTGAACTTATGGCTAGAGCAGCTGACCAGCAGACTGCATGGAGAAGATGGTGTCTATAGAAATCTGTGTGTTGTACATCCTGGAACCTACCCCTATTCCAAAGTGAAGAGAATGTTAGATTTCATATCCATTTATCGGCTTATACATATTAGATAAACACAAGTCATATTTCTCAGCCCCTAAAAATTTTAAAAGCAAAGCATCTGTGTAAGAAGCTTCAGGTACAAATGTAATTGCCCGATTCTTGGCCTGCACATTAGTTCTCGTGTAGTTACATGCATTGATCCTAAATTGATGTAATTTCTTTAGCACACACCCTGGGAATCAAAGAGCTCTCAGTTTTCATTTGAAGTTTTTAAACCCCTTTTTAGTCTTGTGACAGACTGTCTTTAGGCTGGCAGTGTATGGACCTCCTACCAACTAAGGTGCCCTTTTATAAATGTTTCTCAGCATTTACAACAGCCGCAGGATCTGTCCCAATATAAATGATTTGCTTACATTTTGTTTACACATTAAATTATTAAATTCCTGCTTTGATCAAGGACTTCTTGAACATGCCAAATGATTTCTGCATCCAGCGTTTGGAGTTTTTGTTTTATTTTTTTGAGACTAGGACTCATGAGCACAAATGTCTAAAGTATGAACTGTTGGTGTTGTTTCCTGACAACAAATCCGTCGCAGCATCATTTTCCCTTCAAATTCTTCCTTGGGGGGCTATACACTATTCAATTTTGCTCCACTCTGTCAGCCAGTATGATGCTTCAGAATAAAAGTAAAGACATAAGTTCTTCCAGCTGTAGGAATGTTTTGTTTTTGCTCAGAGATACTGCAATGTGTTAGAAAATCTCTCTACACAGTAAAGTTGGTTCTTCACTCTTGCGAGTATGAAGGTCTTATGACTAAGGTGTTAAATGTATGTCTACAACTTCTGTGTAGTCACACAAGAAACAACAGATGGTAGTGAATGTCTTCCTACTCATTGCCCTCCAGGAAACATCTAACCATCTATAGTCAGCATTAGACATACCCCATTATGTATATTATGTTAACAGTGCACATGATATAACAGGTGCTGTTTGTGCATCAGAGACAAACCACATATTGATAAAGCGTGGATCGATTCTTCACACTCCATTCCCATCACTTGATGTTTTTCCACCACTGATAGTTAGTCATAATATTCATTGCATTTAGAAAGCACATTCATCGCCCACATCCACCCATTAGTTCCATTTCAGGTATTTATAAAGTGGTAATTGGTAAATTTGCCCATACCGGCCATTTTGTAAAATCCTCATTTTCCACTGGTGAATCTTTGATTCATATGAGGACTTGCTACCCTGGATCACGCTTTCTCATGTACACACACACTTGCTTCACATATTGACTCAACTTAGGATTTTTTCCTGAAAGCCTAATTTGTGAATACTATTAACCATCTCGTCCACCTTCATTTCACATTATAAGTGACCAGAATCTAAAGGGAAATTGCCAGCATAGTTCAGGTGAATTTCCTGGAATTCGATATTTGTTTCTTAAAATGCCCCAAGGACATGTTTACAGTGTTCTTTACCCATTTACTACAGATTGATAAATAAAATGTCACTCTGATATGAAAAGCTCATTCAGAAATGTTTGCACTTGAAACAAGGTTAATGTAATGATGTTTTGTTTTGCAGCTCAACAGATTCAGCGGCAGATACATGGAAGCCAGGCGGAAAGCAGTCTTTCGATTAATACAGTAGATTCTGGTGACAGAGAAACAGCAACATATGACCAAGGTTAGTCATCTCTTAAGATTATTAAAGAAGAACAATAATAAGGATAAAAATGTCAGGGGCATAATGGCATGATATGAGCACTTTAATTTTATTTAGCTTGAAAGTGAGCTAAAGCAATGTCTAACCTTAATCTAAATAAACGGCTACAAGTGTTTATGGTCCCATGACAACAACATCTGGTAGCAGAATGGCATTACTTTTTGTTTTAAGCACAGTGTTTTGTTCAGCATTACTTTTTCCTCCAAACTACATCCAAAAACAAAAAGCAGACATGTATAGTAAGTCACCTTTCACATTACATATTGATTGCAAAATGTTGTGCCCTGCCTGTAACTCTCCTTTCAAGGGCAAACTGCTTTAAATATTTGGGGGAAGCAAGTGTAAGTTATAGTTAAACTTAAAGTGACACTAAACTCAGGAGTTAAATCTTACAAATGCATTCAAGTACCTTAACTATTGACATAAATGTAGCTTACATATGTATCACTCAGCTCTAGATCCTCAAATCATCTCTGAATTGGTGCTGACACTGTCCTTTCTTCTGGAGGGTGGCTACTTCTGTTTCCCATGGTCCCTGTGTGTGTTGTAAAGTAGCCACTGCTCCAAGCTTGCTCCTGTGATGGACTACAATCTCATGTTTAGGGCCCATTCACACGAGACACAGTGCGTTCCGGCCTGGTTCTGGTCGGAACGCACTGGATCGCATCGCAGCTGGCTAACTTTGTTGTGGGGCGAAAGGGGCGTGGTGGTCCATTGAAGTGAATGGCACAGTAGCAACTCCCCCTAGCCACAATGCTTATGTCTGCATCGAAATGCATGGCACATCAATGTCTGCGTTCCAGTCTGGTCCAGTAAGAAAAAATAGTGCTTGCAGCATTTTTTCTGACTGGACCGGACCGCAGGCATTGATGTGCCACGTGTTCCCATGCGGCCGATCGCATTGAGGCCTGGAGGGTGTAGCTACGGTGCCATTCACTTCAATGGACCGCCACACCCCCTCCCATCCCACAACAAAGTGAGCCGGCCGCATATGCGATCCAGTGCGTTCTGGCCAAAATCGCGCCAGAACGCAGTGTCTGGTGTGAACGGGCCCTTAGTTTACTAATTTGTATTGATTTTATAGTCCATCATGGGAGCGAGCTTGGAGCAGTAGCTACTTTACAACACACAGGGACCATAGGGGACAAAAGTAACCACCCTCCAGAAGGAAGGACAGAGTCATCATGAATTCAGAGATGACTGGAAGATCTACAGCTGATACACAGAAATAATTACAGTTAATGATTCTTTCTGAGTACCTCAATACATCATCCCTGACTGACTTATCTACCTTGAGCTGTCGCACCCTAACTAAAGCTGTTGTTTTTATTGCCATACAACAAAAATATGAAGCATTGCAGCAAAAACTGACAGATCAGATTTACAGCCAAGAAATGAAGCTGACTCTTCTTAATCGGAATGTGGAGAACATTTCGTCTAGCCTGAACGACATACACAGTTCACTGTATTCGCTGGAGGAGAAGATCAATGATGCTGATAAAGGACAAAATCTGCAATCATTCCTTAAAGGTAAAACATATACCTCACTCTAGGATGCTGGCATATGTGTCCTGAAAAACTAGATGGCTCTTTCATTTGCACTTTAAACTATCTGGCTGGTGGGAGAGGTGTGTTTCATGCACGCAGATGTGAGATATGGCCATTTTCAGTCAGTGGCCCCTGAGACTGCAAGCCAACCATTATCATAGGGAATGGAAAATAGGGATCACATGTTAGACGTTGGGCTGTCCCAATTCCAGTTGTGCCACCCTGAAAAGTTAGTTATAATTTCTTTGCATCCCCTCCAAGCTTCTTTCTTCTCCATTCACATAAACTGGTTAGGTTAGCATAGCTGGTGTTTATGAAGTACTTTGCCCCAAGGATAGTTGTATCAAGCTGCATGAACAACTACCCTTTTTTAGTCTATGACCAGAGAGCATGAATAGATTTCAAACACCACTCACAGCCAATCAGGTGACAGGATGTAATTGTTGTGTAAACGACAGTCATCTCCATGATACTTTTAAATCATAAGCCAATTTCATTTCTAGTCCAAGATACTTCCATTATGTTTATCTGTGCATTTCTGTAGCTCCTGTAGGTGACATCACCACAGACTATGTGTTCCTATAATTCTATTTGGAATCATCATTGTCCAATCAGATAAAAATGCAAGCCAAAGCTTCCCTGAAGTAATGTGAGAATGGTCAAAAGTCCTAACATTATGAGGAGAAGCATAATCCCCCTCCCACGTCACCCCCTTTCAGCAGGACCAGAAATAATCAGAAGGCGAATGTAAAGTCATGGGATATTTTAGTAAGGATGTTCAAAGCCAAAGAAAACCCTTTATTTGAATGGGGTTTCTTAATGTAGAAGCCTGGATGGATCCAAATTTCCTACACCACCCTTGTAATAACTCAGGAACATAACTTGCTTTACATGGTGGACTAGTTTCAACCAATTGCATAAAGTATGTCCCATTCAGATTAAAAGAGAAGTAAAGGTAAACTTTTTTTTGGCTTTATCTTTCTTTTGAGTCACAAAAGTCAGCAGATAGCGGGCTATTGTACGCTCTCTGCTGGCTGCACAGAGCTGTGCTGCAGCAGGGAAGGATCCTAAAAGTGTTGTTGGGATCTACCTCGGCTGCTAATTGACAGCTGCTTCTCTAGAGCCAGCACCAGCCATACACATCCTTCCCCTGTCTGTTCCTCTAGTGAGTGCTGGAGGGGCAGTGAGGGGAGAGGGGGAATCCTTGCGGGGAGCAGTTTCTGACTGTGGTCTGCAGTGAGAAGAGACCATGAGCTAAGCAGCGTAGGACAGTTGAGGTGTCCCACGCCGGCTCTAATCTGCAGAAAGAGTATATTTTATTCTAACCACACTTTACCTTTATTTGTAAGGTCAAACTTACAGATTACAATTACAGATTGTACCAATAGGTTACGCTGATAGTAAAATAGACCGGCATATCTCACTAAGGCAGGATTTGTCTATGTTACTACAACAAACTGGAGATTTACAGTAATCCTATTAAATCTTTTATATCTGCCTTACAAAAATGCATTATGTTTTACATTATATCCTTCCATTTCAGATCCAATGGCAAAAAGTCTTACAGAGCTTATTAAAAACATTGTTAAAGATCAGTTTACCATACTGCAAATGGACATGAAAGAAACCATCGCCCAGATCTACAAAACTGTGTCTGAAACCTCTCTAGAAGTTGAAAAAATTAAGGAATCTGTGAAACATTTAAATACTACAATAACTTCTGCCCATCAAAAGTGTGCAGAAGAAGAAGAAAACAAGGCAAGCAAGGAAGATGTGTTAGAACTAAAGAACCGAATAGAGCATTTAAAAAATACTGCTTTTGTTTGCACCTCCTCGTTTAAAGATATGGAAAAAAGGCATAGTGCTCTCGAAGAAGAATTAAACCATGAACAATCCAGGAACAGAGATTATTTTGAAACTCTGAACAGTACGTTGAGCAAAATGAAGGAGATTCATGATCAGATGTTGACTGGGAATCATGTTAAGGAACAAAGAGTACAAATAACTCCATATAACTTCAATGACGATAATGTAACTGAATATCTTTTGGCTCTACAGGAGAGGATGAAAAAACAGAATATAATGATGCTTCAACTCTATGATGATATTTATGCACAAGACAGCAAAATCAATAACCTTACCGTTACTTTGGATCTTCAGAAACAATCAAGTGAAAAAGCCTGTGAAGACAAATTTGCAACCTGTAAAGATGACTTTCAGAAACAATTAAAAGGCACTGAAGAGAATATGCATGTCTTAAACAAAACTGTCTCTGATGTTGTCATTCCCTTGGATGACAAAATTGATAAAATGAACGAGCAGATAAACGATTTGTGTTATGACATGGAAATACTGCAACCATTCATAGAAAAAGGGGCTCCGTTTAGTAGGACAACTGAATATGAGCTCAAAAATGATGTAAATGAAGTTAATCAGCAGATTCAAAACATTACAGAATTTCTTAATACCCTGAATTCTATAGTGCACGTTATTATGAAAGGCCAAGACAAACTTCAAATTGAAGCTGAAAAACGTGAAGAACTCTTTGAAAGGCGCTTTAACGAATGCATCATGGAAGTTGAAGATGGCCTTAATAACACCATGGATATATTAAATGATGCTGTTGACTCTATCCGTGATGAATTTGTGACAAAGTCGGCAATTTCTGATATGCAAAACAAAGCTGAGCTTTACACTAATGCTACTATTGAGAAACTAGAAAGTGCTTTGTTAGCCATTCCTGCGATGAATGAAACTCTGCAAAACCTGACCACTGCACCTAGAATCCATAAAGATAACAGCACATCTACACATTATGCTGTTGGGTTTAGTCAAGATGACACCAGCATGGCCTCTTCCTTTCTAGAGTTGTCACAGAAGATAAACAGTTTACAGTCCAAATTGTTTGAGTGTCAAGTAAACATTACTAAAATAGAGGAAAATGTAGAGATTTCTGTAACTAATGTGCAAAATTGTCAATCTCGTGTACAAATTATAGAATCCCAAGTAAATATGATCCTGGCTAACCCTACTGCTTTACCAAAAGCGAAACCTGTTGAAGTTCTTACCAATCAAAAAAGTGTCCTGCAGGAAGTATATTCCAGAATTAAAGCTCTTGAATTTAAATCCATCCGGCTGTCAACAAGTATACCACAGCTGAATAAAACTGCAAATGAGGCAAAGGTCTTATGTCAAACTGTATTTGTCACTGTTAAGAAAGTCAATGAAAGTGTGCCAAAATTAGTTGAAGCAGCTCAGCCAAACATAGCAAGTTTGCAGAAAGGCTTTGAGGAGCTCATACGTTCTTTAATACAAATTAAGATGTCAACTGTCTTGACAAACTTAACAGGATATGTAGATAAATCACTATCTGATATCACAACCAATATGGCCAAACTTCAAAAACAGATGAAGGCTCCAGTGAAGAAGACACTTGTCCCAAAGAAGCTTTCCATTAATCCCACAGTATCTATTATTGGCCGAAGCCAACGAAATTCTGATATTATAGATCAAGGTGAGTCTTTTTTATTAACAGCGTAGTCACTGATTTTGTAGACCTAATAGAGAGGTGGACAAGTATTTAGTACTATTAATCTGCAACAAGTCCTTCTCTTAGGAGTGCAGATTTTAGTGTGGAAACTGTGATGTTTTTATTGATGTTGCACACACATCTCTGACAAAATAAGTGCATGTCTCATTCCTTTATAGAAAAGTTTGTCACCCTTTTAAAATGTTGCCATTCTAGGGTCCAGCTAGTAAGGACCAGTAGTAAGTACTATCCAGAGCTGATAAGGGAAGTCAGTTCATTCTCCTCTGGTGACATGATGGAAAAGTCATTATGGGAAGAGCTAGCGTTGACAGCTAGCTAGCTCCGCCCAACTGTTTACAGTTGTACGGCATCTGACAGGTGAGCCATGATTAGGCAAAGTCATCAGTTACAGAGTACTGGGCCCTGATTGGGCAAATGTAAAAGGGTCTGGTATGACTTTGGGGAGGAAATCCACGCTTCTTTTCCCCTAAATTTTAAATGGGGTCCCTCCTAACATTCCTACCAAACCTAAAGGGTCTGGTATTGTTTGGGAGGGGGAACCGCACACTTTTACATCTGGCCTGCAGTTGACATTTTTTTCTGACTTGCATTTGACCTGTATTCAATGAATCCCGTGCTGTAGTTCAAAACTATTTATGATTATGTCTTTCTTGGCAGATGACCACTCCAGCTGCAGCAGCTCTCCTTGCTATAATGGTGGTACTTGCATCAATGACCTGAAAGGTTTTGTGTGTGCCTGTCGTCATCCTTTTGGAGGACTGAACTGCAGCCTAAAGATGACAGATGAGAATGCTCAATCTCTAGGCAAGTTGTTTTGTGTGTTTTTGTCAACTGTGTACCTTAGTTCAGTAGAACTGGAATACCATACAGTATGTGTCTCTATAAATCTACATTTGGTCTTGGTAAAACACTTAATGGCACAGAATAGTATGGCTCAGGTAGAAGTTAGGTTGAAGCAATGCTGTCCTAATCCTGTAAGTAAACACAGTGAAAATTATTACTCCTGTAGTCTCTAATATTCAGGCAAATTTTGGTCTGCTCATCCACCCAACGACCGACTGGAGACTGGCAGCAGGATGAACACCATAATTAGGTTATGTGGTATCTTTTAGGCAGCTCAAATATTGCAGATAGGCTTGGAGCAAAAAAGGAGAACTAAATAAGTGAGGGCCTACGTGAAGGGGTTAGAAGGGGAGTCAGGTAGTTGAAAGGTTAAAAGGTGAATACGCAGGTTAAAGTAAAGTCAATTAGCTAATTGTTTGGCAGTGATTTGGCTGGGATGGGCTCTAAGGGCGGGCGGTAGGGAGGAGTGAGGCAAATCTAGTTGGAAATCTGCAGATGCAGAGAGCGCTTTGAAGATCTTCTTCTTCTTGGTTCCTAGAGGAGCAAAGACAACATGAGTGAGTTAGAGCATCTTTTAGCACAGCATCGGATGGCTCCTGATGCTAATGGTACTGCCTGATTGGAGAGTCAGGTATTCTCTTTGCTTCTAGAGGTTCCACATGATCTCCCATACACATGGGCATTTTACTACATGTGCTGATGGGTCATGGTCTCTGTAGCAACAAAAGTAACCCCAGCAGGAATGCCAGACATGCCTCAAGTGTGGCTCCTTGTGGCCCAGCCTGGGATTACACATCTGAAGGGGAGGTTTCTGAATTTAAAGAGAACAACACATTGGGGCTAACAGAACTGAATGACATTAGTGCATCAAATCTACTGAGAATAGTCAGAGGCTTTAAAGCCTGAGATCTCATACTGCAAATATATAACTATAGGGCAGTAGGCACAGGACATACCAGGAAGTACATTGCTATTTTTCAGGAGTTATTTCAGACGAATGGTTCATTTATAGGGTACCATTTCCATATAACATAGCAAATCTTCACTTTTTAAGTTCAGGTCTACAATAAACAATTTAAAAAATATATATTTGGAGTGCTGGCGCCTTATACAGTTGTTGCTTTTTATATAGGTTTTACTTTAGGCCTGTACAGTGCCTGGGTACACTTTGAAAAATGTTCTCACATGTAGCATGATTTCTACTGAATTTTCCTCATGTTGCCTGAACAGGGATACTTGTAAAGAATAATTGATGTCAGTTGGTCCTCAGTGTGCTAATTAATAACACAACAGTAGGAGCATTAACAAAAAGTGAGGTCGATGTTGTCATGAAACCCTACAGTCTTGCTCAGGCATCCTCAGTTGTACTAAGTTTATAGTGTTACTGGTACTTATCCATGCCTATCTGAAGCATGTACACAGTCATATTTTATATATTCAGGAATTAAATAACCATCTCACTGCTTACTGGTGGTGTTATACATAACAAACATCATTTGTTTGACTTAATTTAGACTTACAATTATGAATGGTTGATTAGGGTTCTGCCAATACCTTTGCTTATGGTATTTGTCAAACAGTACTACCCAGAACATTTGTTCTTTGTGCTTCTCTATGCTGCACCAGCAGATTGCAAAAGGAGAACAGTTTAAAAATAAAGATACTGCTTTGTGATCACTGTGCCATGACGGCTAGACTGGCAGCCATAGATTTAATTATGATAGTATCTATTATTTCATAGCATTGACAGTTCTGGTCAGCACTTTTTACAGGATTTTGAACTTTTAATCTAATTTAAGGTGTCTGAAAAGCAGGAACACTAGATAGCTGGTTATTCAAGGTCACACATAAAAGTTTAAAGAATGTTCATTGAACCCTGAGTATGGGATGTCATTGCAATTATTCTATACATCTTCAGTGTAAAATTCTAAGGCCCCTTTCACATGGGTGGCATCCATTCTGATCAGTAGGGAATCTGTGCACGGATCGCCTGCTGATTGGAGCAGTATGGAACGGATGTCACTCTTGTGACCTTCATGTCCAATTTGTTTTTTCCTTCATCGCAACTGGACTAACTGGACCCATGCTAGGTCTATGGGCAGTGGTGCCTGTTTAAATCCAATTACCTCTGATCCGTCACAATCAGATCCACCAAAACAGAAACATTTTTTTCCAGACCAAGACGGAGTCGAAGGTAATCAGATGTAAGCAGACCTAGGTCCATTTACATTCAACTACTTATAGGCTAACATTGAGCTTACGATCAGGTCTGCCTAAAAACAGCCAGACCTGATCAGAACGTCATGTGAAAAGATCCTTACATTTACAGTTTAGTATGTGGGAGATATTTTGTATGTGCATTGCATTATTGAAATTACTTGAAGTATACATATTTTATATATTTATTACTTCTCGACAGGCTATGCAGTAGCAGCAATATTATGCACATCTTCAACAGCTGCTTCTGTAAATATGTAGAATTCCAAAGGAAAAAAAATAACTGTTAATACAAACTGTAGGTTCAATCGGGCTCTAAAGCTCTTTCACACGTAGAGCTATGCAGTTATGCCTTTTTTTTAACTCTGTAACTTCATGTGTTTATCCATGTTTTTGTACATTTCATATGTTTTTATTGTTCATTCATTCTGCCAAGCACATAAATATTAATTAGTTTTAGGCAACACATGGGATTTCTGCTTAAACTGCTCAATTTAGTGCAGAAAAATGCATGCATGTTACTGCGAGACAAAGGTTAATGAGCTGTTACTTATCAGGAAAAATGAGGAAAGAATTTTCTCGGACAATCTGTATGAGCTCTGTATTAATGTAAGACTAAACTCAAGAGTTAAATCTTAAAGGATCTTGAAGGACAGTGTCATTCAGAGATGATTTGAGAATCTACGGCTGAGTGATGTACAAATAAGATACATTTTTGTTAATAGATTACTTGAATGCATTTTTAAGATTTAACTCCTTAGTTTAGTGTCACTTTAAGGACAGGTGTCTGCTTTCCTATAGTTAAATGCCTTCATTTTATTGCATGAAAATGCATTTCCAGTAGAAAGCTAGTTCATTCATTTGTGGGTTGTCCCCATTCATGTGCTGCAGCTTAGTGCATAAAATATAGGGTATGCTGCATTTTGTATCCACAAGAGAGGGTTACAATAGCCATAGCAGCTCATGAAACTGCTATGGGGTTCTTTGGTAGGAGGGGTCCGTTAGGGGGGCTGATTAGGAAAACAAAACTCAGGGTTGTGTAGTCACTCCCTAGTAGTGTACTGACTATACGTTCAGCTCTCCTGCTGCGTGTCCTCAATACATACTTTACGTTGAGATCAATGACGTCTATTATCACAGTTGACACTGCCAGCAGCTATAGAGCTGTATAGAGAGTAAGTGGGGGATCCAAAGTTTTTCTATGGGGCCCCATGATTTGTAGTTACATTCCTGTCCAGTGATGTGAATGATAGACCACAAAAATGCAAGGTTACTGTATGAGAGAACCAGAAATTGATGTACTTTGACTCCTGTGACCTAAAGGTCCACTATGAGCTGGCAGCACAGAGCCACACCGCAGCCAGTAAGGATCACGGCAATACTACCTGATTGACAGCTGGCTCTGTCTCTCTAGAGCCAGAAGAAGCTGTTCCCATGATCTCCAGTTCTTCAGGTCCTCCTGCAGGCAGGAAATGTTGGTGGTGGCAGTGGTGTCCAACGATGCTGAGGGCATCTTACCCCCATGTCTACTTATCTCCTGCCCAGTGTGAGCCCATATGTTGCGCTTGGTAAGGTTCTATATCTATAGTGAACACAATCATTAATTAATGAACAAAGTGGTGATATATGCGTGTCGTAATTTGTTGCTTCCAGATGGGCAAAAAGCAATAAATTACCTGGTAAAAATGTTTTTGTTTACCAGGTAATTTATTGCTTTTTGCCCATCTGGAAGCAACGAATTACGACACGAATATTACCACTTTGTTCATTAATTAATGATTGTGTTCACTATAGATATAGAACCTTCACGATACACAGGAGGACACGAATAATAGGGGCATTATTTAAATACCAAGTGCAACATATTGGCTCACATTGATTACACTTGTATACATTGTTGCAGCTGGTGACTTAACATTGTATCCTAGCGCAACTAAATTGGTTAAAAAAATCTCCTGCCCAGTGTTCCTCCATCCTCCTCCTGTGGGTAATGCAGAGCACTGCGTGCGTGACTTTAAATAAATATCTGATATATCTAAAGAAACTTAAAGTGCAACTGAAGCCAAAACTTTTTTTTTTTTTAGTTTTGGATAGAGTGGAGAGGGATTAGAACTGTTAGGTTTTTGTTGCATTCTATAATCTTGAAGGAGATCCACACTCTCTATTTGTCCTGATGACCGTGATCACAAAGCATAAAAAGCTTGCTTATAGCATCCTATGTATAATCCTTTTGGGTTGTCACTAGAACAGAAATAGATGGGGGGCACTAGTTCTAGTGACCCTGCTGACCACCAGGGATTTCCCTCTCTTTGGAGGTATTTTTTATCACGTCCTGTTGTAGCTATCAAACAGGAAGTGAAGGGAAATCTCCCCAATGCAACAAAGATGGCAAAAAAAGCTTACAGGGGTTATAATCCTAACTAACTCTATCCATAACTAAAAACGTTTTGGCTTCAGTTCTACTTTGAAACAAAGTGGCTAAATGACTCATTATCTTTTTTTCCTCCTTCTTTATGCAGATTTCTCCAAAGGATCTTATCGGTATGCGCCAATGGTGGCCTTTTCTGTCTCTCACACATATGGGATGACATCTCCTGGACCGATCCGATTTAACAATCTCTATGTAAATTATGGATCTTCATATACACCCAGCACAGGGAAATTTAATGTGCCCTATCTGGGGGTATATGTGTTTAAGTTTACCATTGAGTCCTATAGCCCTCGATTGTCAGGCTATTTAGTGGTTGATGGAATTGATAAAATTGCATTCCAGTCTGAAAACATTAACAGCAGCGTGTATAGTGACAGGACGGTGACAGGGGATGCTTTGCTAGAACTAAACTATGGGCAAACAGTCTGGCTCAGGTTAGCCACGGGCACCATCCCTGCACAATACCCGCCTGTCACGACATTTAGTGGCTACTTATTATACCGTACATAATTGATATTCAATATATTATATGCTTGTATTTACAGAGAGTCAATAATCAAAGTTATTTTCATATATTTAAGTATATGTAAACCATGGGGCCAGCATCACTTTCGCAATCATATTGTATGCCAGCAGACTGTTTATGCGGGACACAGCAGGCAATAGGAATACTCACCTGCTGGTATGTGTCACTGTCTTACTGACTGGATGTGCAAGGCATCATTCTCTCACTGGCAACTTATATTCTGCAGCAGTTTTATCAGGGACAGAAGGACGCCTCAGTCATCCATCCAGAGGGAATAACGCATGCAACCTGCACATTCCAACAACCCTGAGGCTGGCAAATTCTTAACAGTGACACGATCACTAGCGTGACATCAGCCTAAGCATATGAAAATCTTTTCTTCTCAGCTCCATCTAGTAGAAAAATGGCATGTGAATAGTATATGGCTTGGTGGATGTTTTTTAAATCATCCCCAAAGTGTATGTAAACCCTAAATCCCACCACACCCTATGCTGATTTCATAAGCAAAATGTATTTGTTATTCTTGTCAAAGTTTCTTACCAGGAGGTCATTAACAGCACATTCTGTTACAGGCTGACACCACTAAGCTATGCCCTAAAATTAGCTGCAGTCATTGTCAGCCTGTCCAGTGTGTAATCCTTCATATGATGGTTGGCCTGCCTATCTGAAAGACCTGATAGGCAGCCCAATGGCCAACTGAAGGGGCTCATGGGCTGACAACGCTGCAGTTCATTTTAAAGCGGTGTTGTCAGCCTGCAACAAGAAGTGCTGTTTCTGGCAGGATGTCCAGGTAGGAAACTTTGCACGAAAAATGATTTGCATAAGAAAAATGCATACAGTGAGACATGATGCCAAACATACTGGAAACTACATTTTGGGTTTACATACACTTTAACAAACTAAAGTATCACTTTAGGATTGGGCTGGCACTTTGAACAATTACTTTACTCATGTCCCTTCTCTGAGTGTACCATAACCATCTTCTAGAATAATAGTGAAGGGATGTTAAAGTTCCGACTGCTCTAGACATACAGGGGTTGGTTTACTAAAGTCAAACAGGCTACTCACTTTGCAAAGGAATTTGCACTTTGCAGGGGAATTGACACTTTAGAGTAGGATTGTACATAGGGCACTATAGGCAAGCTTCTTATGCTTTGAATAGATCTCAGTGAGCAGATGAGGGGACATACTGAAGGACAGTTTTTTTTGTTTTTTTTAATGCTTTAAGATACAGTGGGGGTCATTTATGAAAACTGGAACAAACAGAATGTGGAGCAATTGCCCAAAGTAACCAGTCAGCTTATCTCTTCAATTTGTTCAGTTGAGATTTGAAAATGAAAGACAGAAGCTGATTGGTTACTGTGGGCAACTGCTAAAGATTCTGTCTGCTCCAGTTTTGAGAAATTCCCCCCAATGATTTCAGATCTTTAACTCTTTGGTTAGAACAGACAGTCCAGCACAACTAGTTTACAATTGATGATGATTAAGAATGATTGAGATAAAGATGAGAATGAATAATCCTGTCTGTACTGTGGACAGCCCAGTACAGACAGGGTTAATTATGGCAAACACAATTACCCAGTCCCCTCATAAACAGGAAGAACTAAGTAGGATTTTCTAGTTCTGAAGTTTTTCAGCACAGAGCATCTAAAAAAGGTAAGCTGCAATTTTTAAATATATGCAATGTAAATGGGAACATATAACAAAAATAAAGTATTATCCCAATTTGGCCACAAAAGTGGAAATACACCACTTTAAGTATTTACCTATGTGCATATCATTTTACCTCTTAAAGCATTGCTTATCTTTGTCTATGTTACCAAAGTTTTAGTGTTTTGATGCTTAAAATTTTTAACTAAAATGTAAAAATGTGATTTCTTTCCATTATGTACCTTGCCTTATAATTGCAAATGTCTATTCATGTTATTGGATACAATCTATATGACCTCCTGTATTCTAAAATAATAAAATATTTTATATTGATTTTTAGATTTCTTTCTGACAAATGTGTTTTAATGGCCTCTTCATAAGACCTCATTAATGAGCCTAATTAGTGAAGTGTGCAATGGTTTGGCACTTCTACATTGCATATATGTGACACTAGGTGGTGCTATTTGCTGCTTTGATATGGTTGCAGTGTGTAAATAAACAAGAGTGCATCAAGCATTAAATGAGTAATATGTGGGGAATGCCTGTAAAAGTGGGGGGAACTAGTGATGGGCTGAACACACCTGAGTTTGGTTCTAACTCAAACGTTCGAACATGGAAAAAATTCTAACTCGAACTTAGAACTCAATGAAAGTCTATGGGACCAGAACAAAGAAAATCAAATGTCCCTTTTTGAAGGCTTATATGTAAGTTATTGGCCATAAAAAGGGTATGGGGATTTGGGTACTGCCCTGGGGGACATGTATCAATGAAAAAACACTTTTAAAAAATACAGTTTTTAAAGGGGAGCAGTGATTTTAACATTGCTTAAAGTGAAACAATAAAAATGAAAACTTCCTTTAAATATGGTGCCTGGGGGGTCCCCTTAAACTGCCTGTAAAGTGGTGGATTGGTATGATGTATAGAACCTGCTGCAGCAAAAAGTGACATTTATAAAGAAATAAATGACATTTAAATTGCCGGTAATTGGTTTTCCCTTAATCTTGTAAACAACTGCTTGGGGAGGCAGCCTGTATGAAGAGGCCACATTTTAGGACACTCGGAACAAGGTTAGAGATTTTTTGGATAAATGATGGTGTTTTTTTTGCGGACATTGGATAAAAGTAACAACAGGTGCTTTAAAATTGGGCCTTTAGTGTTGGGGGTGCCTTCACACCGTAACCCTTAAGTTATTCTTAATGAGTGCAGGATTGGACCCTGCTTTAAACAATCACATTATATATACCTACCACACAGGTGTGGGAAAAAATGGGCCTTTGGTGTTGGTGCCTCCACACTGTAACCCCTCAGAGTTACTCTTGATGAGCGCAGGGATGGGTCCTGCTGTACAAAATTCAAATTGTATGCACCTGTCACACACCTGTCTCCTTGTTGGACATGATGTGGGGCTTATTATAAAATGTTATTAGAGAATGGGATGGGAAATTTGTGCTTTTGTGCCATACTTTATCGCATGTGGTGTTTGGTGCACTATAAACTGTTGTACAATGGCTTATTATGAAAAAAAGAAAAAATTAGAAGAAAACCCCCCTAAAAATTAAAAAAGAAAAAAACGGGAACACCTGCGACGCAGAAGGGGGAACAACTGCGACGCAGAAGGGGGAACACCTGCGACGCAGAAGGGGGAACACCTGCGACGCAGAAGGGGGAACACCTGCGACGCAGAAGGGGGAACACCTGCGACGCAGAAGGGGGGACACCTGCGACGCAGAAGGGGGGACAACTGCGACGCAGAAGGGGGGACACCTGCCACAAACAAGACACCTGCCACAAACAAGAAAAAAAATATATAGCACCAACATGCTGCATAAAGCACTGACACCAGTTCGCTTACACTACATCTAACTACATCTAACTACACTAACTCTATCATTAACAACAGCAACACACTACAAAAGGCTGCGGTGTAAGCAACCTTTTATACTGTGGAGCTGGGACTTAAGGTGCCCATACACCTTACGATTATCGTACGGTAATCGTATGCGATCGACTTTTCGTACGACAATCGTAACGTGTGAATGTAGTGCCCAACCGATAGTACTGTACAATCGTACGACTTTTGACGGTCAAGCATGTTTGAAAACTTTGGTCGATCGTACGATGTTCGCATGGTTGGTGGCGTTTCCGTCCGTCAAAAGTCGTACGATTAACACTGCGCATGCGAAAATAATTACGGTCAATTACCGCAAGTCGTCCAGGTGTTTTTTTTTTACTACCGCTAATTGAACCTTGCTATAATCGGGGCAGGATGGGGCCGTCGTACAAAAATCGTACGACGGATCGATCATCGGACAAAAAGTTTCGTCCGATAATCGTAAGGTGTATGGGCACCTTTTAGATGTGAGCCCTGATTGGGCAAAGTCTTGCACCTGACCTGTGGTCATAGCAAAGGTTTTCCCAGCACACTCACAAGCCAGCATGCAAAAAAACTTGTCTCACTGCTAAGGTTAAAAACAGAGGTTTAGATACACGTCTTCTGCAGAAAATGTGAAAGCCGCACAGCCGCGCCAAGGCACCTCCATATAGTGTGGTCCTAACTCTAAACTATGAGAGTTTCCATCTTGGAGCACATGTGGCAGGTGCATTGCTTTACCCAATCAGGGCTCTCACAAGGCACTATGCGGTGCGCAGTGCCTTGTGAGGTGCCCGCTGAACGCCCTGACAGTTTGTGTGTTCGCTGAACATATGAACTAGCGATGTTCGAGTCAAAATGTTGTTTGACTCGAACATCAAGCCCATCCCTAGTGAGAACTATTTTCAGAACAGTTAAGAATTTGCTACTAGTTTTTTGTCTTTTTTTCACTGTAATTTTTGTCAGCTGAACTCCAGACGAAGACATAAATAAAATGCATTAGAAATGTTTTACGTGCCAAATTACTTGTATTGCTGTCTGTCTAATTTTAAGATTTTTACAGCTCGACACACAGCACAGCCCTGTCCTGCAGGGGAGGGAACCTGACTTTTGTGTTGGGGGGGAGGGCTGTAGATATGGGCGGTGTGAAAGCAAAAGGCGTGTGATGTGGTGAAGCACGCCTCAAGACAGGCTCGCTGTCTCTCTCATCCCTTAACCCGCAAGGTTCCCTACCTCCTTTACCTCCCTGTTTGTATGGGATGGCTTTCCGGCACCCATTATGACAGAGATCCCACAAATGGTATTTATTTATCAATTCACATGTAAAATGTAGATCTTCAATCATTAATATTTCTGAAAAGTATTTCTGAAAATGTATTTCTGAAAAGGAGTTAAATGCATTGAATATCAGTGTAATAAATGCTAGATAGGCTTAAGGATTGCGATCGATATATACGTAGGAATTGCACTTGCATGAATGTTTACAATGTCAGCGTACCGTAGCAATTTTGTTTCAGTCCCACTTCAAATCACTTCAAAAGAAAG